AGGTTGGTTCGAATTTCGAAACTCCCAAGGGAATCAAAACCTACAGGGTACTTTCCAGGAACTCAGAATCTTGAAATTTAGTGCGAAGCAACGTCTTGTAGCACAGATAAATGAAAATTACGAAAACCGTAAATTTTTAGTTACATCATATAATAACAATATTTTTAATAAATCCCTTACAGGTTTGCACGGGACCCTCAGTGCGCGAGTCCGATTCATACTTGACTGTTTTTTTTTTCTATAAACACACCATGATATTAATTTATACAAAAAAATTGTTGAAAGTACATACCATCTCAGAGTATATTAGACGATGTATTTCCAAATTGATGCTAAAACTGTTGGTCCCACCTGGCTGTGAAACATTACGGTCGTTCACCTGCCCACATTTGTCACTGAGATTAAGTAATATACTCGTACCCTGACATAGGGGCTTTCGACACGTCCCAAGACTTTGCATCAGAGTGCCTCTATCTGTGCTCAATCCTCATCGTGCTTGCTATATGTATATCTGCATTTATCTATCTATACATAGTATTAACAAAGTTGTTTCCCGCAGTTTGTACTCTGAGCTCTTTTAAACTACCCGAGGTATTTTAATTCGGTTTTCTTCAATGTACAGAGTGACTTAAAATGAAGGTATAATAAGCGAAGCCGCTGGAGCAAACCTAGTTAAATATATACTGTTTATAAAACGACGTCTCATACGAGGTATACATAAAATTATACTTGCATTGTTAAGAACTCAATGGCACAGTGTTAAGCAATTTTTTATTCAAACAAAAAAAAATCTCCTTGAAATTAGGTACATTTCATTTTGAATCGTCTAAAATTTTACTGATGGTTTTCTATATTTATTTAAAACTCAAAAGCTTACATTTACAATAGCCAAAATTTAACGAAAACTGCGAAAAAAAATTTGATCTTTATTTGAGGTTTCTAGTAAAGAAATTATGATATCAAAGATGCTCGTCGCTCCGATCGCCCAATTATGGATAAAATGGATGCAATTTTTGAAAAAGTGGAGCAAGATCAGCATATCAGTAGTAACGACGTAACTGAAGAACTGGGGATTAACCACAAAATAGTATTGGCGCATTTGAAAAAAGCTGGGTACACACAAAAGTTAGATATTTGCTCACTGAAACAAACCCTATTGAACCGTGTACTCATTTGTGATTATTTATTCTTTATTACGGTGTTTATTACTGGTGATGATAAGTGAATCACGTACGACATGTACGTGCGAAAGAGATCGTGGTTAAAGGTCGGTCGAGCTTTACAGACTGTGGGAATCTCGCGTTATCTCGCAACAAGGTAACGCTGTGTGTATGGTGGGATCGGAAAGGCGTTATTAATTATAAGCGGTTACCGCCAAGCAGGACCATCGATTTGAACTCTACTGTGAAAAAGTGATAAGATTAAGGCAAGAAGTTGAGAGAAAACGGCCAGAATTAATCGGCCAGTGTTGTTTTTCATCATTATAACGCTAGGCCTCACAGGCCCGTCTTTACCCATGGTGCAGGGGGTGCAATGCACCCGGGCACCGCGCGTTGGTGGGCGCCGCGCCGATGATGGTCTAATATAAATATGTGTAAAAAGTGGGCTGGGGGGCGCCAGAGCACAACTTGCACCCGGGCGCCTGTTGTGCCTGAGGCCTCATACATATTTTTCTACTCACCAACAATTGAGAGAATTTGGCTGGGAATTGTTAATGCATCCGCCGTATAGTCCTTCAGATGTCTCAGTTTTTTAGGCAGTGTTTCAGTTTTTTAGGCAGTGTCAGGTTAACATCACGCGAGGACTACCAAAAACACTTGTCGCGGTTTTTCGATCAGCAGTCCCAAAATTTCTATAACAATAGGATCATGTCCCTACCTACATAAGTTGGCAAAAAGTGATCGAACTAAATGGTACCTACATACTTTAGTTAAATGTAAATAAACTTTATTAAAAAATGTTTTGAATTTTTGATAAGATACTTTTTCCTTATTTTATTATTTAACAAGTATTACTTTTAGAATAAGATTATTTATCCATTGTTGGTAGGCATGAAATATAGAATTAATGTGAACCTTCACAACACACGATAAGGTTGAAAAGCAGTCACACGATCTTACTTCTTACTTCCACTTGATAACTGTTGAATTGTTAATGATTTTATGTTTAATTTAACGCAATTATTAAGATAAACAATCAATTTTCGACTATTATTTAATCGTAGATGTGTTAATTTAATTAGGCTTATTTATTTATTAGTAAATTTTTTATTAAAAAAAATAATTTTATGAATTTTACCGTGTCATAATGTAACCTTTTTATTAATTCGAGGCAGCAACAGCAAAACAATTTCTTTAATAAATACCTGTACAATTACAAACCTATAGCTAATCCGTAATATACATATTATTAATTAATATCAATCGTTATGTAATAACAAAACTCTTAGAAAATACTTACGAACACAACCCATGGCAAACCAAAACAAATAACCCACACAAACACTGCACTGCACTCCAAAAAAAACCGAAAACACAGCTCAATGAATTACCGCAAACCTTTATTTTATGGTTACACTATAAGGTACACAAAATCGTTAATTAAAACCAGTGATTTCTATATTATTCACACTACATGCCTCAAAAATTAATAGAAACACATCACTGATTATTTGGGTGGGGTGTTTAATAAAGAAAATTGTATTTTATTGCAAATGGATTGTCCTAAACGTCGTAGCATCGACCGTTTGCTACGGAACACGACTACGTACTGACGTAGCTAGAATTGGAGGGAAAAGCTTTTGCGCACGTAGTCCTGCTACGTACATCCAGAATATTTGAATTTAAACTTTGTTACAAAGTGTGGAAGTACATTTTAGTAGTGTTCACTCATTATGAGCGGAGGTTACGATGTAAATTGAAAGTTACAATACAGAATTAGGTCCTGTTAAATGTAAATGTAGTTATGTTAAAATTAGGAAATCCCATTTTACCGACTATGCTAACATCTATTAAGTACAAATATTATTTTTATATAAAGAAACAGTTTAATGACATTAATGAATTAGATTTAAAATTTCCTATTTAAAACAAATTGTGTTATTTTCTTGATCGGAGATCTTGTATAGACAAAAATAAATGAGCTCAAATTCGACAGTTCCATTATCAGACTCTAGACAAATCAAAACGATCCTAGACTCGATGGGTTTGAACCGTTTAACTACAGAAGTCCTACCTTAAGGCTATGGCTACCTTAAGGCTATCCATCATCACATTATTTCCATTCTATATTAACACTGCATTGTCATTTAAGTAATATGTGCATGCATAATTTCAGCTCAATGGTTAGACAGGAAGTGGGTGAAATGTAGCTTGCAACATTTTACCACAACTTACTAAAAATTAAAATGATAAATTTTTGATGATAAATTTTCAATTATGTTTTCTGAAAGAATCAAGCGAAAATAAAAAAATAATGTGTAATGGAGATTCATCTGTTAGTATTTTGTTGCTAAATAGGATTTAATAATATGTAACATACATTACATATTTGATTCGTGGTATTTGAATCTTATAATAATAAAAATACCATTGACGTTTTAAAATATATTCCGTGTTCCACTATCTTGACTTCAAGATGGTAGGACTACATTTGTTATTATATTAATTAATAATTACATTGGAGACTTAACACAATAAGTTTTTATTAACTTAAATGTGTGTGTTTCATTATCATCATCAACTGCGCCTTTCCTATGGACACAATCGCATTGAAAGAACGAGCCAAAACGCGGGCCCGTTGCGGATTAAAACAACTGGAACTAACGGTTTTACGTGCTTTTCTGAATATTCAGATGATGAGTTTTTGGTCACCCATCTGATTATCGATCTTTGCGAAAGTTGCTTAATATCCTCAATCACAGAAGGAAACCGGCATCGAACTTTTATGCTTAAATCGATATTATTGTTTCCTAAAATAGTTACTAAGACATCAGCCCAAATCGAGTTCCGTGAAATAACATTAATCATTATACAGTCATAATTCATTAGTTCCACTATTTGTGCTAGCAGATATTTATTTAAGTGGAGCTCCACTTTGTCATTCAATTATGATAATTAGTAATGATATGTGGGTTCCTTAAAATAAATGAATGTTTTTAATGTTATAACCGGTGCTCTAACTCTTACTTCTACTTAATCCTAAGTACAATTACAAAGAAAACAGGTTTTTCTTAACTTAGTTATTTGATGACTGAAGCGTTTCAGGTATGTAAAAACATATTTAATGTTAAAGAACTTTCGATAAAATTAAATGGGAAAGCCTCGGTGAACATACATAAAAATATGTCGCCGTCAAACATATAACCTCCTTCTTTTCGATTTTGTAGTCTGTTTAAAAGTTATGGTAAAACCACAGATACAGTTATCTATACGAAGGCGGTAAAAAAGGCAGCTCTAGAATAATTAAGAGGAGTGAAACCAAAATGTTGCCCATGTCTCATCCCGGCAATGAGATAGATAAAACCCAAGGATAGTGAATTGCGCGTGTACAGTGTTGCACAGAGCCCTAGGCTACAAAGCAACTTACATATTTATCCTACTCCTATAAAAAGGATATAATTACAACGAGAAATTAAAAAATTGAGAATTTTAGGGATAATTTTACAAATTCGCCTTTTCACTGTAACTGCAAGATAGTGAATGTTAGTATACGTGCCCTCTTAAGAAGAACGTCACAGACTCTTTTTGTCCTTGTTTGATAATTTTAATTAAATAGCTTAAGACCTCGTAAGTATCTCACTATGAAAGTATCACAAAACCTAGACCCGTATCGCGCCAATATAGAAAAGTTCATTTTGAAGTTTTTTTACGTTTACCCGACCGAAAATCAAACGAAATTCGTCGGAGTATAAGTAATTGATGATTTTATTTTTATTTTCTTCACAGAGAGGAAATTATTTTATATTTAATTTTCTTTCATATTCACATAATAAAAATTATCTCACAGAATGTATTTATGGTAATAAACAGAAAACAAATTTGTAGATACAAACATAGATATATATATAGTTTAAACCATTTTCCGACCGAAATAGGTCAACACGTCTCAATCTGACCTATTCTCTTCTGTCATTATCAATTTACCTACTTTAGTTGGCCAATGATATAAAGCAAGCACTAAGTTTAGTCCTCGTTTTATAATAAGGCGGATTATGTTTTGCGCTTTTCTAACGTATTATCAATATATGAATTTTATTTTAAGACATCAAAATCTATATGTCTTATCTAGGAACATATGTGTGTTTAATCTATATCCTAAAGCCAGAACGCTGATAAGATTTTTATTACTGCACGAATTAGATTTTCACTCATTAAATTTCGAGCTAAGAATACAGGCGTTTTTTATTTCGGATCCCAACTCAATATGAATACGCTGCATATCCTCAAAAGCAAACAACAAATTTATTTTAAAATATTTAAGAGAAAATAATAAATTTATCGTCATTTATACTTCAAAAAATAACTTTTTGTAAAAAGTAGAACCGGCTTCAAACTTAAATAAATAATAACAGTTATCTCAAAAGCTACTTTACTCTAGAAAATGCTATTGAAAACGAGTACTTATCATTTAACTAATAATCTAGAGAAAACCTCCGTCAGACTTCAATGTCATTTTCTTGAATAAAGTCGCTTTTGAGCTTTTGGCTACGCTCGACGTCGAGTTCAAGGCTGTTTTTATAATTATAACACTGCCGAACAAAAAAGAAGTTGCATTCACAAAAATAACCATACACTGAGGCTTAAAAACTTCTTCATCTGTAAGAGTTCTCCTTTTAATGATTTTAGTTATAACCTAAAAGATTAATTAAAACAAGCTTAATATGTTCCATGTTTCAGCTTCATTATAATTTTCTCTCCACATAATTCTTTATTAAAGCACCAACAACTTGCATAGGATATTTCTGCCATTCTTTGAGGACCGTTTTAGGAGTCGTTATCTGAAAAAAGGCAGTCTAATAGAATCCTTAACTTTTATTTAAGCTTTTTTACCCTAGTACCAATATTAGTTTATCGTTGTTCTTTTCATTAACATGTCTGGATCACCTTTTATTGCTACTGGGACGTATATGAGTGACATAAACACAATTACAGACAGGTTTAATAATAGTGATTCCTCGTCACGATACATAAAACCGTAATTATTAGAAAAAAGAGGGAGTTCAAAATCATCTGCGGAAATTTGACATGCCTGCGGGTATTCTAACATCGTTTTCATTGACATTGATTTGATTAAAGATGCACTTGAAGCCCGTTTCATTCAATACTTAAGTGCATAAGATTAAACCCGATGTATTGAACGTACACACTGTGTCTAACAATGCATTATTAAACATCATGTGCTTTTTTAAACAGAAAGTGGTAGTTAACGGAAGACCCATTGGTACGGTGTGTATTTTATTGTTTCTCACTTCGTATAAAATTTGAACTAAAGTACAGTCAACCACTTGATTTTAATTAGTAATGCATTAAGAGCAGCGTTTAAAATCAACTGAAGAAAATTTGACATATTGTGTTAACAGATCAATAACTCAATCGCAACCCACAAATCATCCAGACAAAGATATACTTAGAAAAAAATATATATAATTTCTCATTTACATTCGTCAATTGGCGGCTCTACCGCGTAACTGAAGCCCTGATTAATTTGTCAAAATAAAATATCCCTCTGTGTGACATTATGGTAGAAGTGTAGGTCCTGAGCTGATGATTTCTACTTGTCAATTTCAAATATTTGAAATTTCAAAATCGGTGCTGATGTTTTTCTAACCTGATCCCCTTGAAGCCTGTCCACAAGTGTAACGCATGCGATGCTCGCGCGCACGCCCGCCTCGCCCGTAATCGCCGCGAACGCGTTCGCCTCCATCTCGATATTTTTAACGCCTAACGACGCCAGTTTGTCTAAGTACGCCATCTTGTCTGCCTCACTGTAGTCGCATAGAGGACCATCTAGCCGGCCTTGACCTATAAATTAGTCTAGTGTAGTATTTATTGCGTACGAACGAACTAAATCGTTAAAAAAATCCTACGAATGATCTGCACAAGCTATGTTACTCTGTAATAAAATCAGCGTCGAGCACAGCACAGCATAGAGATTAAATCAATAACCTTTCAGCTCGATTGTAAGTAGATTTAAAGATGTTTTTTTTGCATCTTATACATATAAAGTAATATTCCAATTCCAAAACTGTTCAATTTTTAAATGCGCAAAAGTATCAATTAAAATTAAATTAAATACTCCGTAAATATGAAAGGATAAGAAAGATATATTGCTAAAATCCGAACTAAAGACTGATCAATCGATCTACCTTTCTCTTGAAAATTCGGAATCACGAATTCACTAACGATCAGCAAACTAAGCTAAGCTCTCTCAATCGCAAACCATTATGCACAATACTAGTCAACATAGATGTAATAACAGTATCTATCAAAGAACTTTAAGTAACAAATTATCAGTCACGTTTACAATTATTAGACTTTAAGACTGTAACCCTCAATTAGAACAAACCAAAACGTTCGGACATTACTTCTGAAAGTGGGATACTGATCTTCATTATCAGTCACAATTCTCAAAACGGTATGAAATCCAGCCCTAATAAGCTGAAACTTTTTTGCCACCAATTGCCACGTTTTTTCTATTTATTCCGTGTCTTTTTTATCATGATATAAATTTTATCTAATTTATAATGCATATAAAACTGTTGGAAAAAAATCACCAGATTATGGTAAAAAATTTACTAAATGACTTGCTTCATTTAAAAGAATTACGGTACAAACTGTGAGAAAAAATAGCAGCTTAACTAAGCATAAGCTTTGTAAAGCAAAAAAGTTTAATTTAAAATATAGCCACGCTGTATACCATGATTTTAGTAAAGTTTATCGTATATCAAAATTATAGTATTTCGTGCTGGCTCTGGATCTGGAAGCAAAGTGAAATCTAAAAGGCATTAGCTGCTTGTCTTCCACTGAAGTAGTTAAAGTGACTGGAATTTGAGTTAATAAGCAAATGACAGACTGGCTAATTGTCACTATACGTAGTATTTGAGAGAAATGTTTTAAAATGTAACCAACCTTTCTATCAGCGCCATCGAGCTCAAAATATATTAATTGATAATTTGACGAAAATGTTTGCTTTGGAACACGCACCTCTATAGAAATCGTCCGCACCCATTGTACCAGCGACGTAAGTTTTGAACTCATCAAAGTTGGAAGCTGAACAAACTAGTTCTTCGGAGAGTCTCTTGTCTAAATACGAGGGCCATTTTCGAATAACGCCCAACACTGGCTAAAACATTATGAATTATTAATAAAGTGGTTCTTAATCTTAAGGTACCCCTTCTGGGGGTAACATAGAACTCAATAATGATAACCAAAATTAAAAAAATATTAAACGGGATAAAATAAAACCACCCCCTTTCCACTCTTAATGAAGAATACTCTTAATGAAAAATGCTTAAAAAAATCCACTTCCCAACTTTATCCAAGTCCCTTGCACCCTGAGCATTTTTTATTAATAATATTTTTTAAATATATTGTTTTATAACTTTACGATGACTAGTTTTGGATAATAGGTGTTATGTTGACTATTAGCAATGCCTACTCCTAATATCCGAAACTAGTCAGGTAAATTTTGCAAACACTCTCACTGTAAACTTAAAAGTAATAAATTGAGCGATTGTATTTGCTTACGACATCTCACTACAATGCTGCAATATTTTTAACACTAAAACATTTTATTTCCTTTTGAAATAACGCCTTAACTCACCAACTCATATGTCTTCTCTAACGTGCCACTAAGTCCAAAAGAAGATACCACGACAGAGCCCGGTGGTATGCCGAGCCCACCGCTGGTACCTAGTCTGATGAATATAGGATCCTTAGCCTTGGCGTAGAACATCACCTTTATCAATTCTTGAAGAACTGTTGTCATAGAGGGTATGCCGATACCGTGCTGAAATTTAAATAAAATTAGACAACATCGCATACATTATTCAGACATCATTTTCATCATTTTTAATACAGATATGCTACTCTATTAAAAACAGCTTCGAAGTCGTCGTCAAACTCAGAGCAGTCTCATTATAAATATTCAATGAAATAAAACCTATATTACCTTTCGAAATAATTTTTATGTCATTGAACCTCTGTGACGAGTTCGCGATAGTTTTTATAACAAAATAGCAATACACATTCTAAATAACTCAGACAAATTAGGTATATATTCGAGTAAAATAAATTTATATTAAAAAATCAACTCCAGACTGCAACTCACAGAGATGTCATCTACTTAAAATAATAATGTAGCTACTTTATTCTAATATTTATATTGATAATTCTACTTACACTAACAGACAATACTGGACCGATTTTGTACATCGCAAATCTTTGTGAAGCTTTGGTATGGTTCACAGATTTAGGATCTTTAGGCAAGCCTAGAAGCTCGGCAACGTAGCACGCAAACTCCCTCATTCGATATTTTGTGCCACCCATTACGACGAACTTAATAAAAAAAAGAAATGGAGACAGTTTTTAATGGGATGGGATTGCATGAGATCAAAAACAAATAGCTGCCTTTGTAAAAACTACATTGCGATGATAGAAATGCTTTAAATTGCTTATTTTTTCTATGTTAATCAATCAATATGCTAATAAAATTGGAAGTCTGTGATGTTATCTATCGCTGATTAACCCACTAATAACCTTATCAATAGCTTAACACAATTCGTTAATATCCTAATAGTCTGTAGTAACGCACAACTATAGCTAGTGAATAAAATATTACGTTTGTGTTAAATTAATAACTTTAACTGTGCTATATTGGTAAATACACGTGTAGAAAGAAACTGGTAATTCAAAATCAATCAAATCAATTTAAAAATAGAAAATAAGAAAAACTTTTGTCATCATTGTCACTTCAATTTGTTTTTGTATTAGATAGAACACAGCACATATATACATATATGTAATATGCGCAACCAATTGAATTTAATATCTAACATATTAATCAAGGTTTAAAATATCTTGTCAATCTCAATATACCTTCACATCTCCGTATAGAGCCGGTAAGTCAAAATTTAAGTTGTCGAGCGCCAAGTGGTACATAACATCTCCTTTCAACTTCGATAAATTTTCATTTGGCAAACTTAGACTTCCATCAGGGTTCCTGTAATAAGATATTATGTTTGACTAGAAATGATACAGGAAAGAAAATGGCAATATGGCTAGCCAACATTGGATTGGTTTTCATTTTTTAAGTTAATTTTTATTTACTCTGATCATTAAATTTTTCATTTTGTTCTCTTACTTTTTTTAAAGCCAAGTTTTAAAAATTTTTGGAGTGGAGTGTATGGAAAAATACTTGAAACGAGACCGACGGCGGAATCCAATTAATTGCTGTGAAATGAACAAGGAGGAATCAGAAATGGAAGGGGAAGCACTGATCGAGTTTTCGCGTTTCGCAATATCATAGAAAAATATACAATACCGAAAAGTTTCTGAGGTTTTGTGGATCTAGAGAAAGCATTTAACTTCGAAAGGAGTTCTGAGGCATTTTGCATTGCCTTTCATTTATGAGAACTGTACAGAAAGTGTGCGGGTGGCCGGCAATATATTGCCTTGGATTGATGTTAATGTTAAAATAAAGTAGATTTGTTTGTTGTAAGGCTATTTAACGTGTATATTGTCAGTTACCTCCAGATAATCTCTGTAATCTATGTTCTAAAAACTGACATCGTTACCTATAGCGCCTTTTATCAAAGATTACTAGTTTTAAAAAGAGGACTGTAACACTTCAATGCAACGTAATTACTTTCCAGAAATGCCCCTGTTAGCACACTGCTTATTTCGTCATAATGATGAATTTACAGAGTAGGTGTTGTATAAACGAATACCACCAAAAATATTTTCACGTATAATGTTGCCAAGCCAAGACCATATGGCCTGCACTATGAATAAATTATCAGATCTAGTATAGAGCCAAGCTTCTATCTCCACACTCCCTAAGTCTGCAAGACCAGATGTCGAAACACAAGATTCTGCCGTTTCGCTACCTTTACACGTGAAAAAATTATTCACTGCTCATCACTTTTGATTTTAACTTACTTTTTGTAATAACGACGTAGCCAAGCCACATGTTGTTTTTAAGCATAGAATTTGTGAAGTCCGTTACAAAGTCCAGCCCTTAGTGTAAGTTTAAAACTACATTGGTTGAGATATAAAACTCCGAGTTTGAGATATTTTTTGTTTTTGTGTACCATTATACAAAATTTCAACTTTGTACAATTTCAAAGTACCCTATAAATTTTATGATTATCAGTGACAAAAATCAGGGTGTTTTTTGATATCAATAAAATCAAAATAATAATGATATATAATGAGCTATACAAATATTTTTTTTATTAATAAGTGTGCTAATATATTGAGTTTTCCTTGCGCTTCGCTTGGCTAGTCTTGGCGGGCCACTGCCGTAGCCATAGATTTATTATAAACAGTATGTTTTCTAGTACATCCACACTATAATATCGATCACCTGCATCGACAACGTGCTGTGATCTTGATCTTGTTCATGTTGTACGTATTACATCTTCAACTAAGTTTGAAAGTAAAATTTCGAATCAATAAGTTTTAGATAAATTATATTGATGGTTTATTAATATTTAGCCGAAATATTCAAAATCATTTTTAAACAAAGTCCGATGTGTGTGTCCGATGTAAAATAGTCGGGCAATGGCATTGAACGATTTACTATAACTAATGGTGTTCGATAAAATATCCGCTTAAGATAACGATATCGTACAACTACTAAAAAGTTGTGTTGTCAATATGAATTTTATTTCCACATCTACTGACTTCACTCATCGTTTATAATAAATCCATTTAATCGAAATTAATCGCCAAATGATAATTACTAAACTCGTCCCGGTTACCTTGGAAACAGTACGATTAATTCGATTATTTTTATACTCAATCATCACAGCCTAAAAAAATTAAGAGTATTAAAGTAAAAATAACTTTCCTTTATTAAACTAAGGCGATACTAAATTCTCCGACTCGATTCGACCACAATTTATCCTGTTTGTACTCGACTCTAGCGAAGCAAGGAGGGTTATGATTTTTGCCGGTATGTATGTATGTAAGAATGTTCATCTCTTTCCTTATAACCTCGAAACTATCGTCGTAACTGGACAAACGAGGTATCATTAGAAACGTCTTAGTTGTCCGCCTCCTATGTGACGTTAAATTAGCAACAGTGCCCTCTAGAAAGCATAAAGTAAGAAACTAAAAAATATATTATTAAATCATTCCGTGTAGGGTATCAAATGAAAGGGCTTAATTAGCACACTTCAAATATATATGCCACAACAGTTTGTTTTGTTGTGATCAGTGGTATATGACTACGCTTTTTCATTTGGTCATCGCTATTGTAATATAGCTATGGCTATAAAACAGATTTCTTGTTTCAAACTTTTTAGAGCGTAATTTGGCTGTAGTCGGGCTTTAAATTTTTTTTTTTGCTACAGAATAACACTGCAGTATGGATATAGCGTGTCATTAACGTAGTCTTGAAATAATGGGTCTTATATTGCACTTTAAATAGGAAATAACCAATCTTTGTTCGTATATGTATTGTTAATGAATATAATCCAAGGCAACTATTGTCACCACTAGTGTATTCTGTTAAAAGAACTACCTCGCAAATAAAAACTACAGCAAAAGTTTGATTTCATTGAAGCTGTGTTGTGACAGCGCTACGCTCGACGTCGAGTTCGAGGTTTTTTAACAGAAGAGTATAGCAGTAAAGCGTTGTTCTTTCTTTCGGACGACCTCATAGAACAAGGCCGGCCCGTTCATATAGGCAAACTAGGTAAATGCCTAGGGTATTTGGGTCACGGGCAAACAGATTATGTTTTCTCTAATAATTTGAACCTTAAAAAAGTATAAAAGATTTACTTTTATTCTTTGAACATAAGTCCACGCCCACGGTTTTCAAAAGTACAAAGTTTACCTACTTAAGGAGCTTTTTTTGTAATTGTCAAAATTACACTTTTTAATCGGTATACCTACTCTATTATTTTTTTGTGGTTTCTTTATAAATGCCATTTCAGTGTTTTGCCTAGGACGTCAAGTATCTGCACAGAAGACAACACCAGACATAAAACCTATTTTGTTTACTACGGAGGATTTAAAAAGTACAATCAGTGTGAGTTTTCTTTATGACCCGTTAAATCGATTATATATAATTACCTTTTACTAGTCCGTCCGTTTAGTAATGAACTGCAAGTACCGTAATGTTCCTCTGTCACATCGCATTTTTTTAATACGTAGTCGCAGTCGCATGCCATGATCAGCCTTATTTACTTCAGTCTAAAAAAAATCACATAATTCATTTAAAAAGTTTGTAATTAAATTTTGTAATAGAAAATTTTAGAATCATATGTCGGTTGAAAGCAGTGTAACAACGCCCTTGCTGAATTACTTGCCGGTTCTTCTCAGTACGAGATATTCCTTGCCAATTATTTTAGATTTTCTCAGATATTTGTTTATTAAATGAATTTGAATTGAAAAAAGTTAAAAATGTTCTGGGAAAAAGTAAAGGACAATATCATTACTTATGTTCATTGTTTATATATAACACTAGCTTTCCGCCAAGCGACTTCGCCCGCGTGGTGATGTATTATATGTACATACAAACTTTTCTCTTGAATTACTCTGTATATTGATGAAAACCGCTAGAAACATTATTTTATTTTAGTTTAATGTTTAAGTTTTTAAAAAATAAAATCGACTTTAAATATGTGAAATGTATAAGAGTTCATCGGCGATTTTGCATAGGTTGTTAATATTAACTTCTAATAAAATCTAAAAAGTTAATATTCATTAAAAACATTTGTGAAAATCTGTCTACAAATTGCGGAGAAACTGGTGAATATACATAAAAAATACATACACATAGAACCTCCATGATACTTAAGCCTGCGCATGATTCGATGCCCTCTAAATTGTTTTTTTTTTTAATATCTTGTGCATCAGTTTATGGCAGCAATATGTTGAATAAAAAAAAACTTAAATCGATAATAGTAATAACATTAAATAAAATCGAACTTACATTTTTTCACTGAAAATAAAAATTATAAATAACACACTATGTTCACTGGTTAAGTACGATCGTAATATTTACATAATATTTATTGACCAATACACAAACTATTTAAATATAAATCCCTCAGCGCAAATACGTCTGTTCATTGCAAAATCTAATCATACACTAACTATTAAATGAGATACGAAGCATTTGTTCTAAGGCTAAGACCGCACTGCGTTTAACGAAACGCAAAAACGCATAAATTACGGTTCAAGTTTTTAGGCGATCTGCATGCGCTTATTCTATTGCAAGAGTTCGTGACAAAAACTTGTAAGAGCTTTCTAAAGCTTGATATTTCAGTATGTTCAAGTACTGAGTATGTATATCATTCAGTACTGTAACGTCCGAGCACATTACTATAGGTAGGGTTTACTCTTCGGACGGTTTATGGTCAAGTGCTGGCCGTTAATATTTTAAATTATTACTTTTTCTTATTCGAATTCGCGTGTTCGTGTTTTGCTGGTGAATAGTCTTTTTTTCTGATCGATACCAGCTTAGGGTGAGCATCGTAGTATAATTATTGTAAGTGATTAAATGTAATTCTTATCAGAAATAAATCAAGACTAAGGAGTTCTACCAGTTTTTTCATTGCGCCACCCACCTCCACCATTAGACTAAGTTGCCTTAAGTCGCCATAGTACCCAGTGCCGAAGACAGACGCTGGAACACCTGGTGGCTGGATATGTTTCTTCCATTAAATGATTTAACAACTTATAATTTAATATTAAAGTAACTTTGAACGAGAACAATTTTTTTTAGAGCTCATTTTCACACCAACTTTTGCAAAGCGATTGTGTGATTTGAAACATTCGATTGTGTGCAATCTGTTCACCACAACCACCTAACCTCCGCATCAAGTATTTATTTATTTTTTATTTATTTATTAAGGAACTTAGTGATTTATACCTATTAAGGAATTTAGTGATTTATACCCTTTGCATTTTAACATGAAATGCCAAACTTTATAAAGCTCTTGCACATTTTTGTCACGACCTCTTAAACTACATAGAAGGCTAAGCATTTAATTGCGGTGCGGTCTGACCCTAAAGTAAAGATAAAATGTACTTATTAAAACCGGACCAATCGTCGTCTCTAGCTTTTATCTACACGGTAACATTATATTGATACTGAATACCTATCTATAAATATATCTTAAGCTATATTAATCTTGGATTTATAGATGTCAATTTTACATAATATTTTAATTTTAATGAATTGCTTGACATTTTTATTAAATATGAGTATTGTATTAATGAAGAATGTGTTCATATTTTTAATAATTGATTACGTATTCACTTTTGTAAATTTTGTATTAATTGTCTTTAATTTTAATTGTAATTAATTTTAATGATTTCGCATGATGTTTTATTTTATTTTTTAATTATAATATAAATGTAGTTATATTTTGTATGCTCGAAATGGTAAATGTGCTGTACTTACCTTATACTTACACCTTATGATAACCGCAGTTATACGAAATAAATAAATTTAAAATTTGAATTTTTGTTTGTTTACACGAAAATTTCGAGGTAGAGCAAAGGAGCAAAAATCATAGCCATAATAAAATCGTTTTATTTTTAGTATGTTTATGCAAATGCATCTAGGAGATACCAAATAAATTTTTGGTCACCTATACTTATACCAAGGCTTCGATTCTTTGATTGTAGCTATGCTTATGTTAACGAAATAATGGTACTTCAGTTTTAATAATTGCATTTTCCCACTGTATTAGTAATATAACGCCAAATATTATTAATACATTAGCGTCATAATCAACCATGAGAACACACATAGTTTACCTTATATCCCGAAAAATTAGTTAAAAAGGGTGAAATAGATATTGAAAGATTGTATAAAATTAAAGACATGAAACTGTAATATATGGATATTGTATTGAGAATAAGTATTTATGAAAATAATATTAATAAAGGGTAAAATAGAGGTTGGCAATTTGTATAAAGATCCGTCATTTATTACTGTTCAAAGTTGGTAATGATTTTTTTTTTATTTGTAAAATTTTACACTTAAGACGGTAAAATAGGGGTCGAAAATTTCTATGAAAGAAAAGTTATGTGTAAAAATATATGTGCGAAAATTTATTTGACCCCGACTTTTTCTTCAACAAATTTTTATTTGATTACTTGAAAAAATTTTAAAATATTTACCTTATTATTATCACTGAAAGCACAAATATAAAGTCACCTTTTCTATTGTTTACAAAACAACTACTATATTATGCAATTTTATTAATATTTCTGATCACATGCGTTTGAATGCAGTACGTTATTGTTTATTCGTTATCAGTTTAATTGGGACTCAGTAGTGATAGAGTACTTGTGACGCTCGCGTCATATATACAGATATAGATTCTTAATAATAAAATATACATACACATATCACAAACTTTAAATTGATCGTGAGCAAAGAAATAAAATCTAAATGATAAACTGTAATTAAAAATGTGAAAATATCTACAATCGATATCACACACCAATCCGTACTGGGGACCCGTTACTCATGCCAATTCTATTCCATCTACATGGGACATTAACAGGCTGCTGACGGTGACATATGTAGAACTAATCGTGTAGTAATATTTTCACAACAGGAATAGATTACCTATAAAATTCACCATTTATAATCAATTTCGTCTCGTAATTACCTTATTATAAAAAAAATATATACCTCATAAATCAATTTCTAGTAGGGTAATGAGATTGAGAGAGTTAATTTTCGTTATTCTATTTTTTTAGCGAATTATATAACGAATAAGGGAACGAGTAATCATTTACTGGTGTTGTTATCTTGGAATTGATTAGTTTATCTTTACCATTCATTCAATTATATTTTTGTTGGGCTTCCGTATAACATAGCAACGGCTGCAATGATTTGTTATCTAAATACGCATTGCTATCTTTAACACAGTGACGAATTAACAACAAATCAGGCATTAAACAGGCTTTTACTATCTAAAAAAGAACTACCCTTAGTTCTTATCTTAACGAAATAAAAATCTTTCTAAAGAGACACCTCTTAATGATAACCTATGACATGACAAGGGGCTTTGTTGTTTTTCAATTTTTAGTGGTCGTGAATGGTAAAGGTAAAGCTTTTATTCAAATATTTGAATGAAATTAACTTAAAAAATGTCATATTTACATAAATAAACAAGGAACCTGTCAAGGTTCCGAAACGTCCATAAAAGAAAAATACAAACGCGAGGAAACCGTTTAAAAGTTGTTTCATTTATATTATGAATTAATTAAATAATTTACTTCATCTATACAAATATTATAAAGAGGTAAAGTTACTATCTTTATTTGTTTGTAGGGGGTAATCGTCAGAAATCCGTCAAAGATCCATATATGAAATTTTTTCACCTACAGGAAGCTACATCATAAGACGGTGACATAGGCAAAATTTACGCGGGCGAAGTCGCAAGATAACAGCTAGTAATATTATAAATCTAATTTGATTGTTTTTTTTGCATTGAAAAGGTTCCGAAACTACACGACTGATTTTAAGAATTCTTTCACCTACGGGAGGCTACATCAATAAGGATGATGTCTGGGTAAAAAAAAGGAATTCCATTTATAGTCCATCATTCAAATAATATATAAATATTAGAAACGTATATTTTTTTATTACAATTTAACAAGAAATGGTTTAGATAATAGGCATTAAAATTGAGGAGTGAAGGCTTACTACGTTATAACTATGTAGATATTATACAAAGGCGTGACGTAACGCGAAATTTCAACTCGATATAGTGACGTAATATATTGATTACTGGAAAAATGAAAAAAAAAACTGTTTTATATTCAATAATCTATCTAGCTAACGGACAGACAAAAAAACAGTCATCATCTTTACCACAATCGTTTTTCTGAAAAAAGTTTAATTTGAAAAGGTCGTGCTATGCAAACTTTCGAATAAAGAGAAAACCACCGCGAAGATGATTATAAACAAAAAAGAAAATGACAATCGATCGTGTTTTTATACCTGTCATTTCTTATTATCCATTTTTGCAGATATGTTTTTATAAATCTTATCAAGTTAATTTTCTAGTTTAGGTTTTAGTTTTTATTTTTATATTTTTATTCTGTGACAATTTTAGATCTAGGTGATTAAAACTAAATCATGCCTGAGTAAGTTATAACATTCCCATTTATTTTTTAGCACTTAAGTTTTATTTATTGACATCTATACATAAAATAATCAAACCTTTAAAATGTCTCGTTAAAACTCGAGAACGGCTGGGTCAATTTAGCTAATTTTGAAATGTTTGTCGTATTTTTTTGTAAGCCAGTGAATGTTAAAACGGTGTTAGACAAAAAACATCATTGTTGAGAGATGATTCGAAGTACACCGGGTCATTTATGTAGTATTTAGTATCATTTATAAAAGAGCTTAGATTATACAATATCAAAGCAAAGTAGAAATCTTTATAATTTAAACACATTGGGGTTTTTGCTCCAGAAACAGTTTTTTTTTTAATTCATGCACATGAACGACTTGGTCAGGCGTGATGTTAGACCATGAAGACCGTGGGGTTAATTTTCTAATTTTAATATCCCATCTCTATCCCTATCAATTTGACATTTGAAAGATATTCACGAACTTCGTGCTACAACTATTTGACATGATTGCGATTTAACGATATTGTTAATTTAAAGTTAATTGAAATTATCTAAAGCAAGCGTCAGACGCAAAACGAAAGTTATTGAGAAAGTACAATACAAACGAAATGCTACGTGCAATCATAAGTTTTAGATATTATGGTCTTGGATATAATTTAAATTTTCATTAGTTAAAAAAGCGATTGCGCCATCAAAGCTATACCTGTGAAACGGATTCGCGATGGATTTAAAATTAGACAATCTAATGAGGTCTTAAATGTGGTTATTCGGTTTACAGGTGTGTACCATGCCCGGCGGCGGCGCCGTGCGCTCCCACCGCTGGGGTGAAGTCTGGGCCACAGGACGGGAAGCCCATGGACGGGAGACAGGACAACCCTTGCCCGTGCCGGAGCTGCTGCTGTGGAAAACCGCCTATTGTTAAACCTGTGAGTTGACTTATAAACGCTTCAAAAATGTTGACGTTATGAGAATCGAGCATTACGAAA